TACAAAAAGCTGAACTGAGCTCAAACTCATGCTTAGTTTGAAGATCCCTTTGCTTTGCCTGATCTGACGATACAGCTGTATACCAAAGCTTGTCTGTGCTTCCCAACTACACAGACTGCTTTTAGGCAGGATGGTACCTTTCCCTAAAACACCTCTCCAAATTTCATGTGACTGCTTTACATGATCGCTGTTAGACGGAATTCTGGAGCAACCCACAGTTAAAGCACAGGATGTCACATCAGAGCAGGATGGAACTGGATCCATCAGACATGGATCTGCACAGTAATGGTTGGTTCTTTCCTCCTGCTTCCTCAAAGTTACATAAAGGCAAAGCTAACACCAACATGCCAACAAGAAGAATTACCCTGCCTCGTGACGGCATCTGGCAGCTCCCAGCTGCCCACAGTACTTACTGGACATGCACACACCGTGCTACAGGAAGGAATACACAAACTGCAGCTAAAGAAATGTTAGAACAGGAAATAAGTCTTCTCACTTCAGAGGAGAAAAAAGAAAAGAAGAAAAAACTTTAATGTAGAATCCAGCATCAGATCCTGCTAGGAAAATACATTAACAGCTCTCAAATTCTCACCTCCCAGACAACAACAGAGCACAACTCTTCAGCTTTCACAATGCTTCTTGTGGGTTGCATCTCATTTTGACTGCTCTATGAATTACTTGCTTTCATTTCTTTTAAGACTCTGCAAACATATGTTATGGATCAGTTCCACAAATCCTCTGCTTGCCAGCACAAAAGCAGCGCAGAAGTTTCACTGCAGCTCCCAACTCCTGCAGGACACAGCATTTTCCTCTGGAGGAGATGGATGTTGGTCTGATGCTGCTGAACTGCAGAAAAGTGAAAGGCATCTTCAAGAGAACCTGATTACTTCTTTTGATCTTTGCTCTTACCACCATCAAACGCACGGGGGTTGCCTGGAGATTCCTTTACAAACTTCATCACTTGCAAAGAAACAAAGGAGGGTGCATCACTTGTTGTTTTCATTCTCCCATGACAGCTTCCAGAAATTACCTTAACTTCATTAGGTAACATGGCGAAAGGGCCATTCCAGTGATGGCTCGTACCTTCACAAGGGAGATAGCTGCTCACCACATACAGAGCTAGCTGACCGAGTGGGGAGGAAAGAGATAAAAAGCAGCAGCACCTTTAAGTAGAAATAGCAGAGCGGATATTAGAATACTGCCCGTAAATTGCACCAATAGCTTTCCCTGCTGTAATCTTGGAAAGGATTACAGAAGCAGTATGAGGAGAACAGGCTTTGTTGCTTCAGATAAAAGTTCTGGAAGAATTACTACGCTACAGAAAATGCTCTTACCGAACACAGTTTCATAATAGTTAACAATGAATTAAAGACTGTTTCAAAGGATAAGATATCTCAAATATTTTATGCCATTTGAAATGTTTCAGTATCTTCTCCTAGCAGTTTGCTTAGTTAATGTTTCACAGATTACCTTAAAAGGGAAACAAAAAATCAGCACTCTCATCCACTTTACTGATATTTCCAAATGATAAATCTGACAAAGAATATATTAGTGGTCATTAATTTCCACTTCCCTTACATTGGCAGAACATCCTTTTTAATTCACGACGTTGCAGTTAGAGTTCTGATAAGTGTCTTGGATAGGCCAAGGCAGCAGATAACAGAGACTGATGATAAGAGAATAAAGAGATAAAATAGGGCAATTTTCACAGTGAAGAGGCTGGCAGTGCCTCTCTAACAGCTTTCCCTGTATCTCCATAGCTATAAATAGGTCCTGGAAAGAACGTGGTTGCATAATTTCAAGTTAACTCTGAAGGAATACGACGCTGTAAAAATAAAAACTACAGGCATGAATTTATATTCAGCAGCATCTTTTGGATACAAGATGCTAGCTTACAGCAGTCCTGGCTCTCTGATTAATACCAGGTCATCCATCAAAAGAAATCCACTACTGCTCAATGTAAGCATAAAAAAGCCACATACGGAGACTTGCTTGGACTGAATCCAGCGCATGTCTAACAAGCTCTGCTCAGGCAATCAGGCTCTGAGGGCCCTCAGCAATGGATGTTCCACTGACTGCCTCTCAGAGAAGCAGCAATGCTTGTGAAGCGCCCTCCCTGCTACAATGCAGGTGATACTCAGGTAGACCAAATTCCCATTCCCAGTGCATCAGACATCTGTGCTCACCTGCACCTTTCATTATGTTGTTCCTTCCCTTCCTCTGAAAACTTTTACTTCCAAAGCCTTCAGTAAATGAAACATCCGAGGAGCCAGAGACAGACAAAGGAACACAGTGTCAGTGACAACAAAACATGCAGGAAAGCTTCCAGCTGACAAACGCACTCAAGAATGCTCACTTTAAAAAATCTTCACTTTCATATTCACAAAAATGTGAGCCAGTTTTAATTGAATTTCATGCAAAACTCGTAGTTAACAGCTGGAGTTTTTCACAATATCAAATCCTAAAATATTTCCAATCCTAACAGCTGAAATGAAAAGGTTTAGGCCTTCCCTGAATACTCCTCACTTCTTTTGTCTTTGTGTTCATCTCAGCATGGAGAAGCAGCCATTCAGACAGACCAATTTGAATAAGACAGTCAAGATGAAAAGAATTTCGTGGCTACAAAGGTCTCTTGGGAATGAGACACTACTCCTATCCCAGCCTTGCAAAGAAGCCAGGTGCACAGCTGCTGGTGCTATAACTGAGCTGCATTTTTCCCTCCTGTAACTGCTCCCAGTGGATGAACTGATGCTCCACCTGCTGGAAAGAGACGTAAACGAGCTCTGAATTCAGCAAGTGTTTTCTAAGAGGAAGATGGAGCCACTTATGTCTCACAACATGAAACCCTGCTGTCAGCAGAGGGAAAAAGACCCAACAAAACAAAAGTGAGCCAAGCACGTAGCTTTTGTGAGAATTCCTTCCCTGCTCCAGGAACTGCTGCAGAACTTCTCAGGTGCCCTGTAAAGCTTTTGGTTTGACTTATAGAAAACAACCTGACAGTTCTGCCCTGTGCACTCATCACAGCCTGCTGACAACAGATCAGTGTTTCCCAGTCATACTTCTACAAAGAATTTGATGTCAATGAACACATTCAGTGCAATATGAAATATAACAGGATGCAGAAATGCTACTGCATTCCTCCCCTTGTACTACTTGTTACTGCATTCTGAACTGACCCAAAAGTTGACACAGAAGTAGCAGAAACACAAGAAAACAAACTAATTCAACAGTATAAACATCTGCTGACAGTTGCCAGGCTGAGAAACAGCAGAATTAAGTGTTCATTTTATACAGCAAGTTGAAATAGGAGTCAGGAAAAGAAGTCTAAAACCTCACAGTGCAAATGCATCTGGCAAGATCAAAGGCAGAGAGCAAGCACTGCCCTCCTACCAGGCAAGTTCTTTCATGGATTACGTTGTGATTTAGAGTGGACTTTGTTCCGTCAGACGTGGTGTGTTCCTTCAAGATCAAAGAAAGAAATTTGGGATACATCTCTGCCGATGCTCGGAGCGGTGCCACCGAGCCAGCACTGATCCTCAGCCAGCCTGAGCCACTCGGGTTCCTCACCCTGTCTCCACCGTATCAACAGCTACATCTCCAAAAAACACAACAAACAGGTACATATCAAACTAGCACAGAAGATGAGTGTGGCAGTTAGGAAACATCTCCATTTCGAACAGAAGCCATGTACGCCTGCCACCTTCCCTGCTGAATGTGACTTGTACAGAGGATGAGAACACTGCTGGAAGCTGTAGGAACCGACCACCTTTTGTGTCACTAAAGCCAAATAGTCCAGCATTCAGGAACAGAACCTCTTCCTCACTCTAAAAATTAAACAATTGCAACCACTTTATGTAAATACACAGTCATTTTGTTTTTGGTTTGTGCTTCCAGGGAGTAGTGGAATCATATTTTCAAGTGCATCCATAAAGCTGCATTTCTGAAAGAGATTATTTCCTTATCTGACCAAAACTTCTAAGGACAATACTGAATCATTTTCACTGCTGGAGTTCAGCATCACAGGCAGCAAAACTTGTGAAACATTCCCTAATGCCCAGAGGGGAAAACTGCAGACAGCTCAGATCAAAATTTTGTGATGTCTGACACCATTAGTGAGTGATAATGAGCAGCTCTCGAGATCATGCAGAAATTACTAATATTCAATTCTAAAAACAAAACAAAAAAAAACCACAAAAAAAAAACCTCCTTGTGGCTTAGTTCAGATAAGTTTCTCTATGCCATGGACAACTGCAGCTCAGAGTGCTCCTGCTTTGCCTAACACTGCACACACAGCAGTGATGACAAATCCGTACCACCTTCTGACAGAGCTCCTCTCCATCTGGCAGCTACCTGGTCCCCAGCACAGAGGGACAATTGAGCAGAGAGTGCCTCTTGTTTCCTTGTCAGCAGCTGCAGAGAAGAGAAAGGCAGCTGAGAGCCTTTTTGCTTACAGTGCTCCTGTCAATGGCCAAAAGGAGGTTGAGGCATCTGCCAGAGGAGAGAACCAAGTGGCAGAAAAGGCCTGGGACACTGAACCACCTTTCCCAAAAAGCTACTCTCCCTACATGAAAATAATATTGAGAGCATAAGCATATAGAGGCACCGAAGTGTCCCAGCACAACACATAAGCACAGTTCCCAATTTTTATTTACATACGCAAAACTCTTTAAAGATCATTAGAATTGCCAAGGGGATATTCAAAAGCTTGGAAAAACCCAAATTAACAGTGCTTGTGAGGGTCGGTCACCAGAAATATTGTCATGTTGTGGAGAACACAGCCAGTACAAGGACCAAAAATTGGAAAAAGACCCCATAGGTCTGAGCATCCAAAGTAAACCTACAGAACTGGGTATGAGGGATGAGAACATTCATTCGTAACTGCGAAAGAAAAAAAGAGGATCAGCACACGCTTCACTTCAAATCCTGACCTTCTCAGACACATCACGCGCCCTTCAGCTCCCACACCACAGCGATGGCGGGTCCCGGCTCTCGGCTCTTACCTGCTTGGGTCTTACTGGGGTGATGCTGTCCTCCCGCCCCTGGCTGTGGGGGAGGACTCGCCCCTGCTGGCCCAGTGCCTTGCGCCGGGCTGCTGCTCAGAGTCCCGGTGGGCAGCGGCTGCCCTCTCTTTAAGAGCTGCTTCTGTTCTTGCTGGCGGAAGCGTGGAGGCACCTCGCGGGGCAGGTAGCGGGACGCGGCTGGCTGCTGCCCGTTAGCAGATGCACGCTTGCCATTGCTGCTGTTGGTGATAGTGCTGGTGGAAGTACTGGTACCGGTACCGGCAGGTTGGGGCTGGCTTAAACTGGTCTTAATAGGTTCTGGCACTGTGGAAGAAAATAATAATAATATCATCATTTAACATCGGGGAAAAATAGTTTTTCTAAGATTTGGGATGACCTCATGGCAGCCTTTCAGTACTTAAAGGGAGCCTGCAAACAGGAGGGGAATCAACTCTTTGAAAGGGTTGATAACTGCATGACAAGGGGAAATGGTTTGAAGTTGAGAGAGGGAAGATTGAGGTTGGATGTCAGGGGGAAGTTCTTTACTGTGAGAACGGTGAGGTGCTGGAACAGAGAGGCTGTGGATGCCCCATCCGTAGAGGTGTTTGAGGCCAGACTGGATGGGGCCCTGGGCAGCCTGGTCTAGCATTAAATGTGGAGGTTGGTGGCCCTGCATGTGGCAGGGGTTGGAGATTCATGATCCTTGAGGTTCCTAAATCGATTACTGAATGAGACCCGGGCTCATAGGGCTCTTTTTTTTACAGCTGAGAGGGATGGTGATGGTGAAGCAGCAGCATGCTGGGAAATGCGAAGTTTAGAACGTGAATTGAAAAGAAGTGTGCACTACAGCAGGGGGAATTCTAGGTAGTAAAACCAAGACTGATCTTCAGGATTAATTTTCTTTACTTCTGCTTTACTCCATGTAGATTCAGACAGATTGCACAAACTCTGTGACTATACTGATGCGTCAATCTGTTCTATTCAAGAATTATAATGGCAAGTACAAAATATGTCATCATACTTAAAGATGCGGGGTGCATGTTTTCAAAAGGTACGATTAAAAATCTGATCATAATTATTTCCTTTAATTAGAAAGAGTGACTAAGCAGCACAACTCCCATGCCTCAACAGCTCTATTTCTGGAGGATCCTCCCTCATCCTGTCTCACAGAAGACCATCAGGGTCTGCACCATCCTGAGGAGCAGGAGCATCACCCCTGCGTGCTGCTATGCAGCACAACACCTGCTTCTCTGCAACAACACTTCCCATTTCTAACCTGACACTGACAAATCCAACCACATCTCAGCACTTTATTCGAGCTGCACACGTGCACCAATGCAGGTGACTGTGCACAAGGACAAGCAGCCTGCAGCATCGCTTCCCCACGTATCACAAGTGACCAAAGGCAGGCCATCTCATCTACACTGAGCAACGCTCAGCTTATATTTGCAAAATGGATTCAGAAGTGTAAAACATGAATGTTATTTCTAACAGTCAGCACTACTTCTCCAAGACAAATTCTTTCCCATCGTTACTTGCAGTGCCAACTCCTCGTGGTGCAACCACAGGCTGAGCAGTGCAGGGGGCAGGCTGAAATGAGGCACTCATGAGCCAGGTTTACATTGCAGAGAAATAAATGTATGCAGCTGTTTGTAGGTACTTCAGCACAAGATTAACACAAGCTTTTCTGCAATCTTTTAAGCTTTAAACCTCTAAACATGCTACATAGTGTCTTAACTACTCCATTTCCACAGTTTTAACCTCTACTTTACCACCAGGACAACATACAATGTCCAATAAGCACCACTGGAACTAAAACAGCATTTAGTTTTAAAAACGAGGATAAATTCTGGTTATTCTCTACTTGTGCAAGGCACGTTGCCTGTTGCAGTGCTGGAACCTTTTACTCCTTGCTGTAACAAATTTCTGGGTGGGTTAAAGCAGGTGGAGAAGGGCAGAGATGCAACAAGTACTGATGGAGCAGAGCTCCTTTAACACATCACCTCTGCAGCACCCACTGCCCTTTGGTTTTACACTTTGAGCTGCGAGGTTGCAAACATTAACCCTCTGAAGTACCTATGGGCACTATGAACTCTATGAAGTATCACTGCCTGCCAGCACAGCCGGCCCTCAGACAACTGTGCCAGGAACCAAAGCTGGCGTGTGGTTCAGGACCCAAATCCCTGCTTCCCCAATGCCCGCTCCTGCTTTGTTTGCCTTGCTTTGATGAATCAAAGGGATAACTGATAGAGAACTGCTTTTTATGTCGTTGAACAAAGCAACATCCCCGTTTCATTTGGGAGATGGAGAACGCAAACAGAGAAATGAGAGCTGGGGGCTATTTGTTTATGTATTCTGAGACATCAGTGTTTACCAACACCGAAATCTCACGTGCTCAGTCCTCCTGAAAGACAAATGTGTGATCCCAGGATGCTGGGGAGAAAACAGCCCCATGGCAAAGGTGGGAGAGCAGTGCCTGCTCTGCTCTTCTGTCAGCGGAATTAAAACCATTACGTGGCACAACGCCAACAGCAGAGCCCGAATTCGCCTGGCCGTGGATTTTCTTAAGGAATATTAATGAATTGGAAACACATTTGGAAGATGGAGAAGGACTGGTTTTTATGAAGTATTATATTCTTAGTGCGATAGGGAGAAATGCCAGCTGATAACTCCAAATAGGCACGTATATAAAACACATCTCCAATCCAAGCCACAGAAGACGTGCCAATTTTTGCTTTAATGTGAACTGAAGTTGTTTCACCACAGAGGTGTGGCCAGAGAAACCCAGTTTCAGCCTCACAATGTTTCCCTCTCAATATCTGAATGGAGATGAGAGAACAAAGACAATCCAAGTACCAAGCAAGCCCTACGTTACAGAACGACATCTCTGCCTGTTAATGGCACTGGTTTTTCTAAGCAGCTCAGCAAAGTGCTTTCGCTCCATGCACCAAAATCTCTGTCAGCCTGGTGAGATGGAAGGCACCCCTGCAAGAGCCCCATGCACACAATGGTGGTCGCTGGAAAGGAACTGCTGGATGACCCCAGCAGCAGGAAATAAAGCACCAACAATGCAGAAAAGGCTCTGTTCCATATTCCAGCCTCAGATCAGCCTGTTCACATGATATAATATATGAAGAGTATCTGTTACAAAGACAATGCAATGACTGTACTCCTCCAAAAAACTCCGCTCGTATTTATAAGCCATCTCTCCAGCAATGTTTAAGCAGCAATTTCCATTCGACATGCATTGAGAAACACCGACTGCTCAAAGCACCCATACAGATTTACTAATTATTAATTGCCGTGAGGCGTTTGCTGCTCTGAGAGCTCCCTACAAACACAGACGCCTCCCTTCCTGCAGGCTGTGCTGAGGAGGGCTGCCCCGTGCCCAACACAGCCCCGTGCACACAGTGCTGTGCATGCAGGCATCTCGGCACCCCGCAGGGCCGCCCCTCTGCTGCTCACCTGGCAGCAATGCACTGCAACCACTGATGTGACGGGCAGCTGCTGGGAAGCTGGGAACTGCAAGGCAGCCCTCAATCCAAGGCTGGGTTGGTCGGAAGGCTAAAAACGTTATTTTGAGGAGATGGCAGAAAGGAGTGAAAGCAAAGTCATTTCTTTTTTCCCGCCCCCATTAGAAGCACACAGTCAAAGAGCCAAAAGACCGAGCTATAGAAACAATCTTGCCAAAATACAGTGAAAGGCATCAAATGAAAGCCTCCGAATCGCTTGCTGTCCCCATGTTTGTGATGGCTATCTGCTCATTCTGCAGCCGGAGAGCTGTACATACGCTAAACAATGGGCTTGCTTGTAATAATTATCAGTACTTAATGGTATCTAAACTTCTTAATCCAATTTTACCCAAACAAATCCAATAATTACTCCGCATGCTTTCTGATGATTACAATCTCGGGAATCCCGACCGCATAAAAAATTGTTATGTGCAATTGTAGGTGGATTTTATTAATATAATGAATAGGATCAGTCTAACAGATTTCAATTACAACAATAGCTTTTAAGTACGTTTCTGTGACATAGGAAAGAACATGCATAAATGAAAGAAACTGGTTAAGCCACATAATACTGATTTACGGCAGCTTTTTCCTTTCATTCCCCTCATTAACATCTCTCTGCATTTCTGAATCCCGCTCTCCAGCTCCATCAAACTTGCATTTCTAAGGGCTTCCAGGAGCAGACATTCCAGAAGAGAAACGGTTAAGCCAGAAATGCATTCTTGGCTGCTACTGTGACAGGATTTATTTACAGCTTCTATTAAACACAGCAGCTCCATTACAAAGTGCTGCATGTGAGAAGAATTTTTGATTATACAATGCCAATGCCTCACTGCGTTAAACATATCATGCCAGCGTATTTTTTTTTTTTTTCCTTCAGCAATTCGTTCAGGTCATTGTTTGATGGGTTTATGAATTCATTACAGGAAACAGATGGATCCCATAATTCAGAGCTATTCTCCCAGCCAATCATGTGGGCAATTTTTTTTTTCCTCATCTCGCTCCCCCCTCCAAATCAACCTTAATGAAGCCACTTCCTCCATGCCCCATTCCCTGCACACAGCCGCTGCTGTGAGCTCTGCTGCTTGTCGGAGCAGCACCCAAACAGAGATGCACGGAGCACAGCGTCGAGCAGCAGAGCAGGCAGCCCTGCTCAAGTCAGACAGAAAGGCACAACTTACCCAACTGGGGGGGAGGCAAACAGAAAGCACTGAATGGTGCTGGGCAGAAACGGGCGTCCGACTGGTGAGAAATCCATTTTTACCTGATTCAAAAGGTCTTTTTTATGTTCTTTTCAGAAGGAAAAAAAAAAAATGTTGCCCCCCAATCTACTTTCAAAGGATGAATTTTCATTTAGCAAATTACCTCCTTTGTCTACTAAGCACTGGCATTTTTCATCCACAGTGACATCTACTGGCAAAAGCAAAGGTATTTCAGAAAACTTGCAGAAAACCTAATGCTTCTTAACATTTCTACACAAAAGTGGGCACTTTCATGCTGTGCTCTTCCCCTCCCCCAGCACACAAACTTCTGGAAAAAAAAAGAAACAAGACAAACTGCAGATCATGGCCCAATGCCAAAAGAAACAGCAGAACCTGCAAAAAGGCCAGAAGCAGAAGCTGCAGTCTGACAATCGAGCTCACAGCCGGGGTAAAAGGAAAAAGGTACCGCCTTATTAAGGCTCAGAACTTTAAGATCATTTCAGTTTAGTACTACTTCCGGAACACAACACTTATTACATGCTAAGGAGAAATGAATGAAGTCTTCCAGGTGTAATTTCATCCCCCCTCCCATTTTGTCTCCCTGCTGATT